TTGTACTTGTTCTATAAGGAGAAAGAAATGCTCTTGCACTGAAAACTTGAACAAACATTTAACGATTTTCATTATTTGTTTGAGTTGATCAGTTTAATGCCAAGATTTCGAAGTTCGGGGAAACTAAAAACAAAGCGAAATGCTGAATTAAAACTTCATATATGAATCACTTCTATTGGGCTGATGCCTCGTTCGGTTTAAGGCATTGAAAACCCTGGTATATCATAACCGATTACAACTCATCCCCTTCTGAAACTGATGGAGGCCGAGTTTTATTGGCCAGCATCGGAAAACGAACTCCAGCGAAGATAGCACTAAAAAATCTCTACTGGTAAATGGGATGCCTCAAAATTGATCTGTTAACCCCTTGTCTCAGCGATTAATACGGCCACACCTTTGTGGTGCGCGGTACTGATTTAAAATGGCATACAATGCGAAACTATTCCGTAAAACTAGNNNAGATCTTTATTAGTCATTTATGGAAACCGTTTGTAGTGTAAAGATGGTATTTCTTGACCACAGCGACAGTTTTTTTAGTTTGCCCACTTGGAAAATCCATGGTATAGCTCCGAGATTCTGGAAATTTTCAGTGTACTCCGTAGACGTCGGACCAGTTTTACCAACCGGTGCAGAAACAAAGCTGTTAGGTATATAGGATGAACCCAAACCGCTCGTGTTCGAAAAACGTTGTCAACGCGGCACTGAACGTCTAGTGGGACATCCAGGCCGAGCAATACCGAGGTCAGATGAAAAAGTCTAGGCATTCGAGAATGTGGATAAAAGTAGATGCCTGACCACCCTGGCAGTACCCGTCCAACAAACTCTAATGTATACACAAACAAAAAATAATTCCATACTGCATCGGTCGTCGCGCAGGATAACCAGAATCGCGCTGCCCATTACATCGTGCGGGATGGGGAGTGATAAGCAGACTACTGCTCGGATATCCCAAACTCTATTTAACTGCCTCCCTTACTCAACCATACTTTTTCACCCCTTCTTCCGACCTTTAACATTCCCTCAGACTACTTGTTCGTCACTCGCCAAAGTTCGTTGCCAAGTAGCCCGATAAGTAGTTTACCACAAAATAGATTGCAG